ATAAAAAAAACGTAAAATTGGTTTAATGCTATTACGAAACGCGTACATTCCTATGGGTTTGCATGTAAGGACATGAATGAGCAATCGCAATATTTAAAATGATGACCATAAGGCACTCGTGTTTCGCGGGCAAAATATTTACGTATCGCATGGCGTTTCTTTGGTATTTCTTTGAATTCTACTAATTATAAGCGTATCAGTGACAAATGACGCTCCCACTTTGTACTGCTGCATTCCTTCACGTTCCTTGTCTTCGGTCCCTTACTGGCGGCGCAAGTCGGGCATTTCCTGCACCAGTCTTCCACATCGCTCCTAATTCGTGCCTAACAAAATCGCTCGCCTACCTTCCCTAGAGTCTTCATAACCCCGAAATGCCGTTCGCCATGGACTGCTTCTAATACTTCTGAAATTGTTTCCTTCAGAAGTACCACTTGGAACTTGTTTCTGATTCCATCTGGATTTTCCCACATTCTTTTCAAAATGCCGTGGTTCAAGTCAAGAAAAGTCCACTGCTCCCAATAACTTTTCGTTGTTTGACTTAGGTGGCTTACATCTGCCCACGAACGTCTTCAATTTCCGGCTTCTTTTCATCTCATTATTGGGCTAATATTTTCGCCCTTCCTCTGGTCTTCGATTAATGCCTTATTTTCCCAGGATTTCTCAAGCTGAAAAGTGATTTATAACAGATCAATGCCAGTTCTTTCCTCTTCTCCACAATGAACAATGTTTTCAGTTTTCCACACAAGGTCTTCGGGAAAGTGCATCTGCGTTGCCGTATTGTTTGCGTGGGCGATGCTCGATGTCAAACTCATAGTTTTGAAATCATTGTAGCCATCGTGCAGTCTGTCCTTTTGGAGTCTTTAATTGTAGTAGCAACTTCAAAGAGGCGTAATACATTCTTAAGATGAATTTCCGTCCGTACAGGTATTTGTGGAAATGTTGGAAGGTTTTAACCGCGGCCAGTAGCTCTCAACGAGTGATACAATAGTTTCGTTCTGGTTTTGAGAGAGTTCTACTAAAATACACAATCGCCCTTTCCTCTACTTCTTGTACATGGGATAACACATCACCTAACCCCACATTACTATCGTCGGCATCAACGATGAAGGGTTCGCACGTCAAGATTGGAGCTCCAGAGGGTGTAATCTTCAGATGTTTAAATGGTTTTTGACATTCGGATGTTCACTGGAATGAAACTCCATCTTCTGCAAGTCTATGTAGTGATTGGCTCATACCGAAGGATCATCACGAACTTAGAAGTTTTCTGGAAATGTCACGTATTTATTGCTTCATATACCGCTTCCATTTTCTGTTGTATTTCTTCCTGAGTTGCTTTCAATTCTTCTTTCATTTTTTTCTTGAGCTATTTTCAATTCTTTTTGTTCTATTTTCATATCTGCTTCCATTTCTTCTTGTCCTGCTTTCATTTCTTCTTGTCCTTTTTCTGGCATCACTGCCATTAATGCTTTTATTTGTTCCTCCGTTTTCACTTCAGTAGCACTGGTCGTAACAAGCATGTAATATCTGGATTTATTCTAGAACGTTAAATAATGGTCTTCGATTTTAGTAATGTTATTCTTTTCTTCGCGAGCTTTCCAATGATGTATGGCTTGTCCAGATAAGTAAAGATAAGTAAAAATTTCTATAAACTTCGATGGAACTCTTTGATGACGTCCGATTTGTTCTTCTTTCTTCAAGAGCTTTCCAGCGATACTAAATTTGTTAGGGTTTCTCGCAGTCAATGGAAACTTCCAGAAATGTCGATGGAAGTGTTTGATAACGTCAGATTCTTTCTTCTCTCTTAGAGAGCTTTCCAACAATATATCACTTTCTCGCAGCCAATGGAAACTTTCAGAAAATTGACCGATGAACGCTCTGGAATATTCGATGAAATTCTTCAAAATTCTCCTCCTCCAATCCTCTTAAGTCTTCTTCCAGTCCCACTCATGACACCAAATGTCACGTATTTAAATACCTTTTCAAACTTTTATACTTCTATTTGACTATTTTCTGTCTAATTAACACTCCTATTATTATTTATCATATCAATTTTATCAATTCACCACTATGAACGCTTTGTCTGGACATATATTCCAACTCCCAGCAAATCTGGTGATTTGTAAAATTCTTTAAGCAACCAAACATTTAAGTGAGTAAATATAAATTTTCAATCATTTTAATATGTACCTCGTGTGTTCTTGTAATTGTTTAATATCAGTAGCGGTAAGTACAGTTCTCTATTTATAAATTACTGTTTAATTTTTAAAACCTACAACTAAAGTCTACCAACAGCCGAACTGAGCCCGGATATTATATATACTCTCGATTAAGGGCAAAGATGGTAATAACAAATCTGTCCCGATGGATTTAGCGTTAAGAATGTCGACCCAGCAAGTTTGTTTAAGGTATCATCATTTCGAATCAAAGGGCAGCTATACTTTTTTTGTTATATTATTCGACTAGCGGTAATCCTCACAAAACGTGTCAACCTATTCTTCTATGTAACCAAACCTACCAGCGACGACTATGAGCTGATCGATATATGATTATCTCGGCCTGTTCCCTCTTGACTAGTGATAAGTTTTCTCAATCTCTGTCGTCCTTGTTGATCTTATCAATAACTTTGTAGATGCATCCCTCTTTGTCTCTAATTAAAACCTAACTTGATGTTGTGTAATTAATTCCATTTGTGTTCCTTGCTGAGTTGGATCGCGTTTCTCGTTGCTTCTTTCGAACATTCCCAAAAAAGCTTCCGGGGTCTACCGAACTTCGCCTGATGCCGTACTAGACCATTTAACTTGCGGAACAGCACTGTCTTGCGCACGCAGTTTGATCGTTTGTCCATTCTGTATTAATACTTTTCTCTGGAAACTTCTGGAAAAGTCCAAATGTCTTTATGTTGGTATAACTTTCTCCATGGGTAACTTAGTAACTCTCCAATGGCAATACATAGTTTCTGATTGTTTGACAAAAGATTACTAGGCTGGGAAATTTTCTGGGTATTGTTCTACTTATTTCAACGTTCAACAGGAGCGAAATCTTGCCTTTCTCAGTGCAACCAAACCTGATACTTCCTATTCCGAGTTCGACTTTTGTCCCACTGGATCGACCCTGACTAGTTTTCACCAACACCTAACATGTAGATAAGTGCAGTGACTTTCTCTTTCAATGCTCATGTAATAGATCATGCGGCTGCTTGAGTGTAGAAAGTAGTCAGTGATGACTTTTTTCATCAAACTTCGTAAGTAATTTCAACGGATCGGAATACTCTTGCTTCAAGTCAGTACTTTCTTTAATAACAGTTATGCTATTCTACTTCTTACCGTTCTTTTCTGATACGATTTTGTTAGGGAACTTTTCCTTTAGCTGTCCCATCTGTGTATCCATTTCTTTAATTTGACAAACTTGAGCCAATTTTTCGTCGATTGTCCGCATGTCCAAAACTGTCTCAGTAATTCTGATTTTAATGTAAGCTCCTTTAGCATTTTTAATGTTCTAGCATTTTAGTGGATTTTTTCTTTTTTCTGATAAACCTCTTGCATTTTCAATTAATTCTTGCTTCATTCTTTCCTCCAATTTCTCTACTGCATCTTGAATTTTCATTTAGTTTTTTTAATTTATATATAGAAAAGAAGACTGTAACCTGGAAATAATAAAATAACTAAAAAGACATACTCCAATAACCACAACTACTTATTTAAAAAACTGCAGACACGTGTTTCACTCATTCTGCGCGGCGCATGCTCATAATGTGAATGAATCTTCATTTTCCATTCTTAATAACAATAATATTCAATAATTAACACTGAAAATCAAAATATTTAATTACTAAACTGTCAGCATGGGTGTTTGAGCAAAAAAAATTAACTTGTACTATTTGTTTTGAAGAATTTCTGGACCATCTTCATCAAAAATTAAAAAAAGAAAACCATGGTACCATTCGAAAGAGAATAAAATTTTGCATAAGGCTATGGAAATACATACAGGGTGTTCCATTTGAATAATGGATTTACGATTGTTTGAAGTTAACCTAATCCGTCATTAAATATCTAACATTCTGTATGCAATTAAACTACTTTGAAAATATGGACGGGAAGCTATCTCTCCTGAGAATATTGTTGCTCCAGTTTTCTTACTATAAAATAGGCACGCCTTTTCGCTACCGACAACTGCTCTGTGCTACCGTTTTTTAAAAAAATTAATATCTCAAAAACGATTAAATTTTAGAAATATGAGAGCCTTATGAAAGTCTACCTAAAATCATAGGTAGAATTCTAAACCGTCGCAATATACAGGGTGTTCCATTCAAAATAACGAAGTTGATGTCAACATCCGGTATAACCGGAAGTGAAGTGCTATATAGATGTCGTTATTTTATTTGAGGAGAGCGTACCCAATAACGCCATTATACAAATTCTAAAACTTTAAATCGAAGTACTTTCTGAAATATTCTAATAGGTGGTTACTTTGAGACACCCTGTATTTATAATTTTAAAGAGTGCATGAAAGAAGTCTTTATATTTGTTTTTTTCGCATAATTCATAACAATAATTAACGAAGCTAATTGTAAAAGAAACAGCGTATCCACACAAACTTCATAGAAAGTATTTTCTGTAGGTCGTCAATTAGAGAAAATATGCATTCTACCGCAGTTATTTTGAACTACCCTGTGTATGGTCACCCTATCTATTTTAAAATGTTGGTTGTATTTATTTATATTGACTTTCTACAGTACACTAAAAATTAATTAGAAATATTAATTCTAATTGTTCTACTAATTAAGTAAATACATACAAATTATGTCAAATATCATCCTGCTAACAATAGTTCAATCGATTTTACTGAAACATAATGTTCCCATTATTTTTACTATTATATAACATATTATAGAAAGATCGGAATAGTTAATTAGGAGAAGGGATATCACTAAGAAGCACCTTTGACTCAAATGTCAATCCCCACTTAGTATAAGCGTCTATGTATTCTTGATCGGTACGACCCGTAACAATAAGTAGCGAGTATGTGGTAGAATTGTTGCGGCATTGCTTGTAACAATCATGATGTGATTATTACAGTACAATAAGTAACGTACAATTTGTTTTACTTTTGTTAGCACATTTTTCTGACACGAAATAAATAGGTACTTTACAACGATAACGTTAACGGGAGTTTTTGTAATGTGCAATACGTATGCTAGTGTGTAGGTAATCCAGCTACATTTCCTTTAAAGTGGGTTACAAGTAGAAAGTTTCAGAATTTTATAGTGGCCTTGTATTAAAAGTATGTTCAGCGGTCAACAATCGGGTAAATCTTCGTACTGATATTTAATTAGAGTGACAACAATATTCAATCTAAGATGACCAGTTATCAAGTAAATTCAACTAATGGAACTTCAAATTTAGAAATCGTTCATAGTAATCAGGTAATTGTTATTTTATTAGTTTTTATAAATGGGTATTCTGTAGGCAAGTTGTACCTACAATTAGTACTTTCAATCAAAAAATTTTTTGCTANGAATTTTTGTAAATTAACATTATAAATTACATAATTTTAAGGTGCTTAAATGTTGGATGAAAAATTATATTATTTTTTATAAAAAATGTTTCAACTAAGCTATCATAATGAGGAATAAAAAACAACTGCACTTAACCGGTATCGACAGTGTTTATGTAATAAGCGGTTATTTTTTTATATGAATCTTGTCATACCTATAAACCCATACTAAGTTGCTAATAGTACAATACTATAACGTTAATTTAAATTACTATAGTCCACATTCAATATCTTACAGTTAACTATATGTAATAAATCATAGTATTGCAGAATTACCACTTCATTTTGAATACTACATTATGAAAATTTCTTTCAAAAAATAACTTTTTATCAATTTATAGGGCTTAACATAATCTACGGCCATCAGTCTAATTTAAATATACTTTCCAAAAGTAGAATTTTCCCGTTTATAAAACAAATAAAACTGCATATTTTTCGTTTCTGTTGACTAATAATATTAGAATACCAACTATTTTATCTCATATTCATTAATTTTGGCTCTAATGGTTTTGCAATATGAGCATAGTTTATATGTTCTAAACTTCTAAATAAAATGAAACTTTTGTACATTTTACTGAAACCTATCAATTGTCTTCATAATAATTTAGAAAACGTTTCCTTTCGAATGCAGCTTTATTAAGAAGCATGATTCGCATTAAACAGTCTTCTTTAGTAATTCGTTCAGGTAACGATGAAAGTTATTCTTTCGTACAAATTCGTTGGCTTACTGCTAATGAAAGTGTCTGAAGTCCTTTTTTTATATTTTGTCTATTTTATCAAATATCTGTGAATGTTTCATACTTCATAAGTTTGGCACATGCTATCTGTATGTCTTCTGACTACAAACAATGACCACAAGAATTTTTTAACATACACTCTTTTATAAAATGAAATAAACTAGTATAAAATAAATGTTGTCCCATTTTCGCATTTTCTAATGTATATCTCAAAATGCACATGCATTCTCATTCTAATTTAACTCGGATGTCACATATTTCTTCTGTTGATATCTATGCAACTTTGCAATTTCGTTAATACTACATAATAACTTCAAAATAAACGGTAGTTACTAATTATAAGCTTATTTCCTGTTAGTGCTAGTGCTTGAGATGATGTTAGCAGTATATTCGATTACAAAAATAATAAGAATGCAAATATTAAAAGGAAGGGTATTGATAAGCTAAGAAAATTGACCCCAATATGACAAAAAATTTAAGTAGACTTTTTTTTATATTTTTCGGAAAATACAGGACACTGTACTTAATACTACTACAAATTACTAATTTTTCTTAAAAAGAACAATTGACAAACTAGAGTAAAAATTACTTTTTTTTGAATCGTACGCTTTTATACTACATTACGAGTTTTTTTAAACATAAGCGTATTCTTTTAGCATTTTGATTTTTGTTTTTTTAAATTTGCTGTCGTCTAAAGTACAATATGTTAAAAAATCATCATGCTAAAAAAATGCGCTCATAATAAAATAAAACATTTTTTATGCATGAGCATTTGTCATAACTTATAATTTATTGCATGCTAAACCTACAATGGTAAGTTTGATTCAAAATATCTTATAATGTTACATACTAATTTGAGTGGTGTTTAAAAAACAATAAAAGATATTTTTGGAAGATAGTATTTTTATTACGTATAAGGCTTATGCTATTCAAACAACAAAATTTTAAGTTTCTTAAAGGGGTCACTTTTCATATCGATACCCCTCCCTTGCGGGTGATTTGTTGATAATTCACGGCAAATTATTATTATATTTTACAATTCCACAGAACCTTTGATATATTGCAATAAAATGTTACTGGTTTCTTCCGTCGATGAAAGTTTCCTCCAAACATTGTTATAGCAAAAAAGAGCTTTTTTAATTGTGCATAAAAAGTTATAAAACATTGGAAAAACCATGTAAATATATCGGCACAAGTCTAGCTATCATTTTACCTGTAGGTACATACAATAGATAAAGCAAATACCGCTCGCTCATTTACTAACCATCACGAAATCTTTAAAACAGTAAAACCACAGTTTAAAAGGTTACGAATCGAATAAACATTCTTTTACTTACTTCAGTCCGTTTGTAGTTATATTATCTTGATGTAATTACGAATGTTGTAGTTAATTAAATGACCTTTTTTGCGTATTACCTAGTTTCATTGAAACTTAAAAAAAAACTTATTCACAATAAAATTGAATGCTATGATGCACTTTTAATAAAAATTAATTTCAGAATATTTAAGAAAATAACATAAGATGACAAATCAGTTTGCTAAAATTGAACTAGTAAAAAAGCCAAGCTAAATTAAATTACCTTTAATGGGTCATCATTGACCCAACCGTACATTGAATTTAAAAGTGGCTAACAAATAAAACAATTGTTGGAATTGACCGCTACTGTATGAAAGGTAGTCGTATTAATTTTTGTTTAATGAATAAAACGCTTTCAAACTTTCACTTAATTTATTAATTACATTACCATTATTTCAGCGTATAATGCCATCTTCAGACGAATTGAGTAGGCTTACAAACTGCCGGTTAAATATTAAATTTCAAATTTATAGTTAATGTCGAGACAAGAATTTACGAAAAATACTTAATTGAAATTGATGAAGCATTTTTATGAATAAAAAATTTTTACCGAGGGAAACACTTGGCGAGTTTCACAATGTTTATTTCTTCTCTGAGAATTGTTTGGGTCCTCGTAAATAGAAAATAATAAATATTCCAACAGAGACATTGCAAATTTATTTTACATTCATGGGAAGTGTGACAGAATTGCAAAAGGAAGGAATAGGTGGAAATCTTTTAGAATTTATAAGTGTAAAGAGAATCCGGAACAAATTTATGATTATAATAAAGGCGATAAAACTATTATGTTGGAAATTTTTGAATACAATCCACTTTATACTGTGCGAAAAAACTTAAGTACAGTTTTTATTATTTTAAGTTAGATTCCTAACCGTTAATTTTAGTTTTTTATGTCTTTTTCCGGGGTGGGATCAATTAACTAAACAATTTATTTTCTGTTATATTTCGGTTTATTTAAATCATCTTGAGACTTTTTGAATTAAAGTTTTAAAAAATTACCTAAACATTCAAAAACAAGACAATGTATTTTACCGAGAAAGAACGTTTACATTTTAAGTTAAAATCTGTGTACAAGTAGTAATACTTCAAAAAATCAAAAGAATCGAAACGTAACAGCAAATAAACAATTTGTTTAATTAATTGACCGCCGCTCTGGAAAAAACAGTAATGTTTTTTATTATGATAATAAGATGCTCTATTCTTTTTCACTCGTAACGGACAAAGAACATCACCCAACTAAAAATCTGAGACACATTACAATTCAAGATGTTTTACTAAAAGATCAAGAATTCCAGGCATGAATGAATCACGCATTACTTACATATTACTTCTTAATAATACCTGTTTAATTTAATATGTTTCTTTTTTACTACTTCCATTGACGTGGTAAAGTACAGTGATTTATAAAAACCATAAGACGATAAAATCTAAGAAGTGTTTGAAGCATTTTCTTGCAAGTAAATAGTTTAATTTAATACATAACCTTCCTGAGTTTGATAATCCCTAGTCTTAAAAGTACAGCAAGAAAGAAATATTGTTTGGGTTTAACCTACCATAATCTAACCTACCATACACACCTAGGTGTATGGTATGTAAATATTTCACCCACCTCATTGGGGCTTTTTCTACCCTACTCAACCTAACAACGCAAACTAACATAGCCTAGGTTAAATAGGATAGGTTAGATTATGATGGGTAAAAGTACTACAAAGATTGACTGTCACAGACGTGAAATTAACATACAAGACTGTTTATTTGTTTAAAACACCTATTTTTTCATGTATGTTTTTCATAATTGTGTCATTTTAAGCCATTTCAAAAAAAAGCCGTGATACTGATATTTTACCATAAAATTAAATACCTACCTTATATGATATCATGCTCGTATGTAGGGCATTCGTTAGAGCAGTTAATCAAACCAAGTCTTATTTATTGAAACATCAGTTTAGCATAATCCTATTGTAATAAAGACTCGCGTCCGCTGTATACAAATATGTAGCAGGTACGCGATATCACTAAATATACTTAACAGCAGCATACGAAGCGTCATACGTTACCGTAAAATTGGAAAATATATAAACCGGCAACATCTACTAAACACACTGCACGACAGCGCTGACAAATAAAATGCAAACATGCATGATCACGAAAACACGCACTTTCCCCACTGTTAAATAAATGCATTCTTTGGTTAATACGTTAGTACATTAAATATTGAAAAAGAAACTAGTAAAAAATTAATGAACGTACCTGTACAGTAACGTCTACTGGTTCAGTGAGGCTTGTTAAAAATTGTTCCATAAAGCAAGGCGATTATTCCCATGGGCTGCTATGCAGTATTTTTAATCTGGTATTGCATATATTTCCGGATTTTAGGGTGACGTATGATTGTAGGAGTGGCTTGCTCTAGTGTTAAATTTATTTAGTAATAGGGCCGAAGTTGATTCGGAAATAGCAGACGTTCCAGACTAACGCGACAGTTATGTACAAGATCCATAATGCTTTAAAATAAAACCTTACATTCTATGATCCTAAACATATCCCTCCAAAATGAAATGAAATGAATGAAATAAATCTACCGTCTTTGCATAAGTGATGAAATTAACGCCTTTTGTCGTAGTGGCATTAAGTTTTCTTATAACAAGTAATTTCGTCGGTGGACTTCCTTCAAAATAATGGTCCCATGTGGCACCTTCGGCTGAACCACAAGTGCCACCATTTAGTTTGAAAGTACTTTCATTAAATAGATACCTTAAAACTACATGAAATTCAAAT